GGTAAGCGAGATTTAGAAGGCTATATTCTTCATAGTGTAGCATGTGTAGCACCCCTTCTTCATGACTTCTAAAGCAGTGAGAAATGTCTTGTAAATTCAAAACTACATAGTGCCATTTGATTTGGATTTTCCTGGAGATTGGTGAAGAGGCTGATGTTTACACCTAGATTTATTAGGGGAAGAATTGAGCACACAATGCAGAACCAGATATACAGACTATGAGATCGGGCGCGTACAGGGTGGTATGGCCATAGGAGAACCAAACATACAGAAAAACAGAAGAAGCAAGAATTTGGCAAAGGACCTTGTGCTCTGAAGGATCATGAAATTAGAGATTTGAGCAAAGTTTACCTAAATCTCCCAGGGACCAGGAGGCCCTAGCTGACATCTGGATTATAATAATGTAATAATCATGGTTAGTGCTTACCATATGGCAGACATTACACCTTATGTAAATTATCTCATTAATCCTCACAACAACCCAGTGACGTATCACTACATTTTATAAAGGAGTGAAGTGAGGTTAATATTAATAACATGCTCAAAGCCATAGAGTCAAGTAGGTTCCAGAGTGAGTATTTTAACCTCGGTCTTGCTGGATTAAAAGAGATTCCCATTCTTATTTACCAAATACCAGAAAGCTTGAAAGGAGAGGAGGAAAAGAAAAGTGAAACATGTAAGATAAAGAAAAGTTGAAAACAAAATGATTCAGAAATGACATAAAGCACTGATCTTCACATTGTTCTGATATTTTCCTACCTATATTTGTTTGGACATGAATGAGCTGACATTTTGAGTTTTGACAGACTGCAGACATATCATGCAGCAATACTTACTCACATTACAGACTAATTTTAAAAGGTGAAATCTAGAGGTTAGAGCTCCACTGAAATAAAATTCCTAGGAGGATCTTTTTTCCACTGGCCTTAATCCCCTGGCACTGCTGACATTTGAGACCACCTTTTGCAGACTCCAGAGAGAGATAGCTTAGCTATATTCTTCTAGTTGGAATTGTGAGTATAAACTGCTCTGGGTACCCTTTCTACTTAATCCTTTTTAATTCTAGCCTTTCCTTCAGTTATCATTGAGCCATCGCTGTATTTGAAATGTATGATTTGGGGCCTATTTTTTCCCCATTGCACATGTGACTCCTTTAGGCCATGAATGAGAGGAGGGACTCACACTTTCCAATGAAGGAGGATTTTCTGACACTAAAGACACAATCTCTATCAGGAGTACACTGGGGAAGGACTCCTAGCTACAACAGTTTTCAGACTATCTATATTATAAAAATAAATACGTTGCAGAGAATACAATAGTGCCAGTCATCATCGTCAATCAACACCTACTGTGAAGGTGAAAACTGACAATACAGCACTCAAATTTGGGAAGGTGGTGTCTAAACAGGCAATTCTTAGATTTTTTTCCATCTAGCTACAAGCATCTTCATTCAAATGTGCAAGGGCAAAATGTGTCTATGAGAATTGTCTCTGTGAAAACTCACCAAGAAGTGCACAAAGATGGCTTTTGACTAAATTTAAAGACGTGGAAGAAGCTTAGCTAACCATCTCCAAGGACAGCAGTGGGGGAGTTACCAACTCCTTATGCCCCCTTCCCTGTCTACTCTCACCTCCTTGGTCTTTGTTCCAGTCAACACCTAAGTCATGATTCCACACTCAGCCCTTCAAGCTCCACCAAGCATAGGCTAAACGTGCTCATCTTACCAAAGTTTAGACTGTTTAGGGTAACCATTTCTGAGGCTTTCAGTGTTCCATTTTCAGTTTATTTCCCAAGCACAAGGTACTCCCCAACAGTATAGAAAATGATGTATCATGCTGATGGAATCCAAGGATAAATGAATTTCCACCAGGATGAGAATATGTTGGTAGGTATGCACTTGCTTCAGGGTAACCAGAAGTTTCAACTTGTAGAAACAAAGAGACAGAAAGATTAGAACTCAGTCATGATGTGCTTAAACCTGGTCATTTCTCCACATAGCTATGAAGGAATACAAATAAATTATAAATGTGGAAGAAGATTTATGCCTATAGGTAACCATTTTTAAGGAAATAAATGCTTGAAAAAATGGAAAAGGAATTTAGGATTAGTCCTACTAGGAATATTCTAAATTTCCCATATACCTATGTCCTGGCCATCTGACTCACACTTCTTTAATTACAATGAACATAATTATTTTAAAATTAATCCCCCATAAAGAAGGGTATATAAGCATCTGGACTTGATTGGGCTATTAGGTAATCACACTCCTGTGATTTTTTTCCCCCATGCACATAAAAAAAAAAAATTATGCCTTTTTCTGCCATTAATCTACCTTTTCTCAGTTCATTTTCAGTGAACCTTTAGTGGGTGGACAGGAAGCTTTCCCTCCACTCCTAAGTTTGCTACTTTTGTCTGCTTATGTTGTGCAAAGTCTATAAATGATTAATCGAGGAATGGCACATTTTAAGAGAATTTTGCTTTTTGTTGTCAAAATTGGCTTTTTTTTCTAATTTTGGAAATAGCATAGAGACAATTTTGTAGGTAGTACATAGGAGGATGGAATAATTCAGATAAGCAGCTGGGAACAAGCCAGAAAAAAAACGAAGTAAACAAGTGAGGAGTTAGAGGTGGGGGGAGGAGGAAGAAGCCTGAATTAAAGGGAATAATGATAAAAATATTGGCTGGGCCGGGCGCGGTGGCTCACGCCTGTAATCCTAGCTCTCTGGGAGGCAGAGGCGGGTGGATTGTTTGAGCTCAGGAGTTCGAGACCAGCCTGAGCAAGAGCGAGACCCCGTCTCTACTAAAAAATAGAAAGAAATTAATTGGACAACTAGAAATATATAGAAAAAATTAGCCGGGCATGGTGGCACATGCCTGTAGTCCCAGCTATTCAGAAGGCTGAGGCAGGAGGATCGTTTGAGCCCAGGAGTCTGAGGTTGCTGTGAGCTAGGCTGACGCCACGGCACTCTAGCCGAGCAACAGAGCAAGACAATGTTTAAAAAAAAAAAAAAAATATTGGCTGGCTGGAAAAGGAACTTATTAAAGAGAAGGTAGTAGAACTCAGAGGAAAATAAAGATTTCTTTTTAACTTTGAAAGCATAATCAAGAAATTTTCCTAAAGATTACTTTTGTATGTATATTATAAACTCACAAACATAAGTCCAGGTAAAAGAAAAGTATCATAAGCTTGATCACTCCTATTAATCATCCCAGTTTCTAAATGTTCCAGTGTTTGGTGAGGAACTGTTTTCAAGGAGAAGCACTTTGGCCTCTTTTTAGTTGGGGAGCCAAGAAGCCCGCTGAAAGTTGGAGATTAGGGAGCTCAGTGTGCTCTAGGCTTGCTGTCTGTGGCCTCTTAGGGACCAGGCCACAGAGCTCCCCTGCCCCACCCCCACCCCGACTGTGGAAAAATTGTCTTCCAGGAAACTTAGGAACCCGGTGACCGCACAGCAGAAGGTGAGTGGTGCAAGCAAAAAGAAGCTTCATCTGTTATTTACAGAAGCTCCCCATCGCTCCCATCACCACCTGAGCTCTGTAGAATTGTAAACGTAAGAAACCTCAGGTTTTTGTTTCACATGGGGTTGGTTCTTATTTGACACTAATTCTACTGTTTCTTACACTCAAAATGTTGCTTCATTCAAAATGTGATCAGCCTATGGAAAGATGTGGTTAGAAGGGAAAGAATTATCAATGTATGAAATCCTGCAGCTTGAGAATGGTGTTTCATGGAAGGGAGAGGGGGTTTCTTCCATTCTTCAGCTCTTAACCCCTATTTTGGGTGTACCAACAAGTTTTCCAGATGGCGAAAGACCTGGAAACATACCGCCCCATGATTTAATAAATTCAATAAATTATATCTTTTATAGAAAAGATGGAAAGTAGTCAAAAGATACATGAGACAGTAACCTGCCAATTACACGCTAAACTCATCAATTACAGAACTGCTATTTTAATGTCAAGGAGTATTTCGTCCTCACATATCCCGGGAAAATGGAGCATCTCCTTAAGAACCAGGACAATGTCCTATTGTGCTGAATCCTTAGCCCATAGGTGCTCAATAACTATTTGCAGATTGATTAGTTTCCCATTCAGGAAAAATATACACCACGTTTCCTACTGCAGGCCTGGGATAGGTCTTGCCGGGGACAAAGACATCTTAATACCCAGGAGGGAATGAGATCCAGCGTGGCATAATGCAAAGTGTAATGAATAAAGGTTTTAGCCAACATGCAAAGGGCAGAGCAGCAGAGATGCACATAAGGTTTACTTTACGTTTTGCAGGAGCTCTCCTTTTAGCGCCTGCGTTCCTGGAGCAAACGCCCTTCATAGGGGGCGCAAAAGCAGGCGAGCACAGAGAAGTGAAGCGGCAGCGGGCTTGGGGGAGAAGTCGAGAAATAGGGAAACTAGAGTGGGGGGAGGGGTACTGGGCCCATCCTGGGTTTGAAAAGAGGATAAAATGCCTTTAGTCACTTTTCTCCTCCTTCCTCCAAATCCCTCACTATGTGAAACTGGCTAGGGGGGAGAGCGTTACATCACTGAGAAAGAGGACCTCTCCTTGCTCCAAGGGCCACAGCCTAGGACACCTAAGAATAACATCTAACGCCTTCTAGACCCACCTCTGCTCCCTAAGAAAGGGAGACCAACGTGACTGGGCGAGGGAGGCAGAGAGGCGACCGGGGAGCCAGTACAGCTGTGGACCGACCGGGCAGGGGGCCGGGGCCAGGTGGCTTCGAGGAACTGCTGGGAGCAGCCACTCGGCAGCGGCGGGCTACACTGGGCTCCGCGCGCCGGCAGGGGCGGGGCAGGGGCGGAGCAGGCGCGAGCCTCTGGCGCCTGGAACCCGAGCCCGACGCCGCCGGGTGCGGACCCTCTTCCCCTCCCGGCTCAGCACCGCCTCCCGCAGCCCAGGGAGGGGCCGGGGCGGAGCGAGCCGGGCCGCACGGGGCGGAGCGGGCGCGGGCTCGGGCGCGGGCGCGGGCGCGGCCAGAGAGCGGCGCGGGGCGGGCGGCGAAGGTCCGCGGCGGGATCGGTGTAGCTGCTGCTGCCCACGACTCGCACCCGGCCGGCCGCGTCCGCAGACCCACCTACCTTCGCGGCGCGTTGGGAGGCGCGCGGAGCCCAGAGGTAGCGAGTCCCCGCGCTCCAGCTCTCTGGACCCGCTTGGCGTCCTCGCCTGCGGCGGGGCGGGCGGCAGCGGCGCCCGGGCATGGCTTCGGCGGGCAGCGGCATGGAGGAGGTGCGCGTGTCGGTGCTGACCCCGTTGAAGCTGGTCGGGCTGGTGTGCATCTTCCTGGCGCTATGTCTGGACCTGGGGGCCGTGCTGAGCCCGGCCTGGGTCACGGCTGACCACCAGTACTACCTGTCCCTGTGGGAGTCCTGCCGGAAACCCGCCAGCTTGGACATCTGGCACTGCGACTCCACGCTCAGCAGCGGTGAGGGCCCGGCGTGCCGCGACCCCTGCCTCCCACCCCGTACTGCCCCGTGCCCAGCTGCCGGGACAGCCGCCGTCTCTCCCCGCCTTCCTGCGTCCCTAGTCCCTGTCCGTCCCACCCCATCCCGGCCCTTCGCGGATCCTCGGGCTCCAGCCACCTCCCTATCGTCCACCCCCCACCCCTCCCCATTCCTGGTCGCTGAACCTAAGGCGACGTCCCACGCCCTCTCCTTCCTCCCGTGGCCGTTCCTCCCGCTCTGGAGTAACACGTGCGCTATTTTGGGTACTTGTTATCTTTTAAGGCGAGAACCATGTGGCTGTGTAAAAGATGGAACGGCTTCCACACCCCCGTGAAAAAAGAAACAGGCAAAAACGCCCCAACTCCACCAGGATGCTGCGGGTTCTCTGTTCAGTCTTCCCCACTTTTTCCTCTTTCCCTTCCCCTTTCTCTCTCTCTCTCTCTCTCTCTCTCAAGGAGGAATTTGCCTAGGTTTACCTCTTAGTGTTCACATTTCTGCCTGTTCTACTTTGCCTTATGTGAGTTTTCCCCCGATGAACTTCGATTTGGATTTTATTTCCTTAAATGTTTGAGGAATATGGAGAGTTGGGAAAGAGGCTTAATTTCCTTTCCTTTTTTGGTGACACCGTCCATCGTTGGTTGTGAGTTGCCCTTCTTTCTCTCCCACTTTAAGTAACTGCTCTCCCCTCCAGACCTTTCTTCCTCTTTTCCATGAGCTACACATAGATGCCTGGAAAGTTGTGCGTTATTCAGCCAGCCCTGAAAGCTGCAAATGGATGGGATAAGATTGGGGTTGGAGAAGGAGGTAGCCATTGGGGCTGCCAGTCCCAGGGGCACTTTACTGTTTACTCCCTCCCTGACCCTCCGGGGTTGCCTTCCCCAGCGCCCCAGTTACACCCTTATAGCAGAAATCTGCCAACTTCTGGTTTCTTGCTGCAAACCCTGTCCTCTCTAATCTTGATTCTTCAGCTGCCGATGTTAGCGCAAAGAAAGAGGAATAAAGGGGACCTGCCCGTGATTTTCTACACACACACACACACACACACACACGGACCTGCCCATGATTTTCTACATACACACACACGCGCGCGCGCGCACGCACACACATACACACGCGCGCACCTGAGAAACTCATTAGGTTAAATTCCTTCCTGACAGTTTCATATCTTTTCTGTGACTATTTATAAAGCATCCTTGGAAACGTTTCAAGTTCCAACAAAGTTGAAATAGAGCAAAAAAGGCACAAAAATCTGATATTCCTTTGTCTTTGGCTTCCTGTTATAGGAGAAATTAGTTCACTTGGTTAAGTTTCTTCTGAAAATTTGTTTTTGCAAAAGGCTTTTTCTTTGATATTACCCCAAAATTCCCATTGAAGGGTTTCATCTTTGTTGATTAATTCACTGTGGAACACTGTGGAGGGGACTGGTTGGCAGCAGGAGGTCAACATTTAGGTCCTTTAATTCTTTCAGAGTTGGTTGTTTACAACTGAAGATAAAATAAATTGGCAGAATTCCTTTCTTTGGTAACCAGGGGATCCAAATAAACTTTGTCGAAAATATCTTTTCTTTCCCTCTTCAATAGAAGTGGAAATTTATGTAGGAATGCTAGCTTCTGCATGTCTCCTTAGCAACGTGAATCTTTTGCCCCTTTCTTTCTGTCTCTTGAAATAATAGCCCCCTGATTGCATAAAGACTTTTCAGATAGGTTAAAGAAGCCAGCTTTAACTCCCATTTGCTTTTCATGCCAGTATCCTTTTCTCTTGGCCAGGAATGTAGGGAATGGGGAGAAGCCAGCTTGAGTTTGTTGAGCTCAAAGCAGTGTCTGCTAATCTTTTCTTAATTGCCTCCATACCCATTTATCTCAGCTTTTTTTTCCCCTCTAGGCAAGGAAATAGGGAGACACAGCTTAATGCAAATATAGCAGTAATAGGACTCTGCAAAGTAAAAATCAAAGGCAGGCACAGTTTACGATTTTTCTCCCCAAACCCCTTATTCCACCCCCTTGCTGAAACTCATACCCCAGCATGTATTTCTATCTGGGTTTCTGAAAATCAGCTTTAGGCTTATTTTGCTTAAAAAAAATAGTTTCAGCCTAGAAAAAGTAGAGTTTGTTAGCAAATGAGTAAAAAGTAGAGATGGTTTTCTTAGAGGCTATTTGGAGCAAGTTCTTGACTTTGTGTATGTAGGAGCAGTTCAATTTTATTCTCCAAGGTGGTGGGTGGGTGCAAGGGGGTGGAGGAAAGGAAACAAAACACGGAAAATTGCTGTGTCCCCATTTTACAAAATGTGCTTTCTTAAATTGTTAGGTGGACTTGAAGCTTCTGTCCACCAGTGTTTTGAAAGGGAGGGAAACGCCTGAATCGAAACCAGCAATGCTTTTCTTGCCTGTTCCAGGGGAGAGGCAGCTTTTTTCAGTCTGTTTGTTGTGTGGAGTAGCAGAAAGCAAGGAGGGAAATGTCTTTCCTGAAGATTTTAAGAGCTCCACTTCATTGTCTCTTGAAATAAATTACCTTGGGAGGAATCACTAAGGACAATTTTACTGAAGGCCTTTCACCAGGATCTTTAGGGCTTAATTAAAAACCTTTGTCTTAATTAGAATGAAAACTGCCGTGAAGAGGCAAGCTTGTATTTACAGAAGGACGATTTTAGGAATGCTTTCTACTGACCATAGTATGTCCTACTTAGCCCCAATTGCTACTGCAACTTTCCCCTAAGCCATTATTTTTTAACTGCATGTGAATTTTGGTACCAAATGTGCATCGTTTGCTTGCTGTTTATAACCCCTTTTATGGTTTTAAACAAAATAGAACCATGCCTCTTGTGTCCTGGTGTATTGAAGGTTGCGTCAGCACTTCTAGTACAACCAGTAATCCGGTTGTCAGTCAGCCGTAATCCCTTTCTCTGGTGTCCCAGTTCAGTGTATGGAGGACAGTCCAGGCACTCATCTTAAGTTAGAAGTTTTCCAAAAAGACAAATGAGAAAACGGCTAATTGACTCTCATTCGTGGTGGAAACAGAAAAAGAAAAATAAAGTATGCTTGCTTGTTAGGAAGTTTAGAGTATGCAGTACTCACATGGCTGCCGGCCACAGAATTCCTTTCTAAGGATGGTTTTCCCCAGTATTGTTTTGGGCAGCCTTTTAATAAATCTTAAATCTTATAAAAATTATAGTAATGTTTTAGACTTCTGCTTAATGACGTTTAGTTTTGATAACTTTTTTCCTAGAACATAGTTGTTAGGGTTTCACAGTCATAGCAATACCAGAGAATCCTTAGCGTAAATAGGATTGGCTCGAGTGTATACTGAATGGTGACGCCCTAAAATTCAACATCAAATGTGCTGTATAAGCTCTAGGGAGATTTTGCATTTCTTCTTTAAAATTTATAAATATATAACTTTCATATAAAGCAGATTGCTTTTTGATGTCTGTATAATTTATCGACTAAGCAAAAAGCAAGGACATACAGATGGCTAACTGAACACATTTTACTGACAGTAATTTGGAGATATAACAAGTGCATTTATACATCTTTTCATCCTCAAAATACTTGATCAAATAGTACCTTTTTCAAGGGATATTGTTAACATCATTCATGTACTTTCCTAAAAATAGCTGCATTTGTAACATGAGTCACTGGTAGTTTTGAAATGGCAGTGCACCGGATGCTAATAACAGGTGAATATTATTGTTTCCAGTTGATGAGAGATTCTTTTTAGAGTGCTTTATACGTAAATCTTTTTTTTAAAAACTTTAGTATAAAAAACCCACTTTAAAAGGAATTTATAAGAAAACCTATCTTAGGTGGTAGTTTAAGATAAACAGAACTGCCTGAACACCTGCAAATCTTAGAAAATCTGAGATACAGTGATTCTGAGTTCAGACATGTATCATCTGTAAATATTTTGAATCTGCACCTTAATTGGAAAACAGACTTTCATTGGGAAACCTCACAATGTGATTTGCTCCGGGGAACGTTCAGCTTGTTGTATGAAATGAGTTGATATTGGCGCATGTTTACAAATAGCTCAGCAAGTCTGGAAGTCACTACAGTTGTACCCTTTTCTGGCTTCCTCGAAAAGAACATAAGTAGAACAAATGCACTTTCATTAACCTCCACAGCATAGACAGGTGGAAAATTAACAGAGTACGAGTTAATGCCAAGACTTTCCCAACTAATGAACCGGAGAAAACCAAGTGTACCTTAAAGTAGTCATGATGATTTTCTTTTAATATCTTCTAGATTTTAAAGTTCCCCAGATGAACTTTAACAAAGGACATTTTAATTTGTGGCCAGATATAATTCCTCTTTTGCTCACATTCATGGAAGGATTGTAATCCCCAGGGAGCCACTTAGATCAGTCTTTGGCAGCTAAAGGATTTGATGGGTGTGGAAAAAGCCTGGCTTTAATAAAACATTTCAAGCCAAAACAAAAACAAACAAAAAGCATATCTGAAGCAATAGATTTTACCTGTTGTCAGGAATACATTTCAGGAAATTTCCTGCAAGTCTCTGTTTAATAGTAAGGCCACTCTAGCAAGACCAAAGATACAGCCAGTACTACTATTAATAGATATATTAGTGAAAGGAAGTTGTAGATGTTTCAAAAATAAGTCTCTAAACTACATTACCTAAATAGCACAGCAGGGAGCTCTCTGAACCTCTTCTGGTTCTGAGGGCCGCCCCATAATAAATAAATAAATACATACATACATACTATAGCAAACCATATGAGCTATGCTAAATTATAGTGTAATCCTGTAGCAGGGCAGAGAATTGTAGAGAATACAGGGGACTTTGGATTCTAATTGACCTGAACTTGGCCATTTAAAATCATGTGACCTCATACAACTTAGTTAATGTCTTCATATGGTTTGTCATAAAGTTTAAATATATGAAAGTACCTGCTCATTAGCATTGTATTTCTTCCTTATTGTATATTCAGAAAAACCCAGTGATATTTTTTCCATAATTGAGGCCTTTTC